AATATAGGCTATAACAATCTATTAATCGTTATGGAAAAGTATAATATCATAAAGTATAATATCATAGTATTAGTGCATATCATACACATAACCCATAAAATAAAATAAAATATTTGCGCTTAAAATATATATTTTTTCTATTTTTGAAATAAATATTAAGTTGGCTGTGATATATTTGTTAATTTTGAAAAATAGTGGTTTAAAAAAAACATCATTTTATTGGTTGGAAGTTTTAAAAAGATAAGGAATGTTTTAAATAATGCAAATGACAAACTCTGTCGAGATAAATAATTAATTTTGATGATAATTCTGGATAGAGAGCGCATATTTTTTCCTACATAAATTGCAGAATTATATTTTATAAAAAACATATATTATAGACAATTTTCAAAAACAGGCACGAATATACCGCAACAGCAGAAATTGAACAGAGAAAAAAAATTGCATTTTGTTAAAATGAACAGATGTTGCTGCATTCTCAAGACACAGTACTTTGGAATAAGCATCAGATGGTCAGCTCTCGCACCTCTCAACCTAAATAACCTACATACTGGTTATAGCTCGAATCCCCCAGAGTCCTCGTGTTGTTCCCCCCGTAAGTTTACGCGCCATTGGCCACCAATCTTCGGAATGAAACTACCGCTGTTCAGTAGATTCCCGGCGAGGCCGTTTTACGGACGTCGCGTGAAAAAGTAAGTAAGAGCGGCAGGACGAAAAGCGTGGCCGAGGAAAAGAGAGAAAGAGAAAGATCCGGCCGATTGAACGGAATGCGCGACGATTCGCGCGAGACGGCAGCTCCGATCTCTCGAATAATCACATTTAACACATCCGGCGATTCGCGAACGATATACCCTGTCTTGCATGTATGCTCGCGCGCGGATATATTGTACGTTGTATTCTACCGGTAACCGCCGCGCAATACACGACGGTACGGTATTACTCTACACGAGAGCAGAACAAGCGGCAACTTATACAATGACGTTGGGAAACGACGTATCAAGTATGTAATGGAATTACGCAGCTGGTAAGAACATACTATCGGTCCAATCTCGCTCCATTGCGAACCAGCGCGAACATCTTCGCCGAATCTTGTCACGTGATCTAACGTGAACACGTATGTAATTGCTCCAAGGAGAGAGAAATTGCCTTAGATACTGAAACCACGACAGCTCTTACGAGAGAGCGGCACGAGTAGACGCGATATTCTCGCACGACATTACTATAACGTTAAGGATAAATTATTTACAAATGTGTCTTGGCAAACATACTGCGGAGAAATCGATTAAATGTCAATGATTTCGACGTAATGAATCGCGGTAATGAAAAAATGTTTATATGATAAAACCTGGCTGATTTGATCATACACGGCACAAATCAAAGTACCGTTCGAGTCTCATCTAGAACTGCGAGAACTGGTCGCAGGATTAGCAGAAGCAGAAGCTTCCCCTGTCCATCGATTCCCGTCGACATTGCCGACAATCATTGCTTCCAACGTTTAATCATGTTACATCAGTACGACACTCTGACAATCCTATCAAAGTAACGAGGTGCGCAGGTCGGGATATACGTACGACGTGGGACTTAAAGTTTCATCGCGATCGATCATCCCTGATTACTCCTCCATACATGACTACACGCGCTCGTGTATACCTCCGACTATCGACAGACCATGTACTTAAGTTCTTACATACGAGAACCCGGCTTCGGGTTCATCAAAGCGTAGATCAAAGGGAATATAGTGTACATTAGTAGTGATCGGCATTTCCTGTCATATGCTAAACTTCGACCGTCATATTTGACACAAATCATCTAATTAAATTGATCTATATTCTTTTGCGTTATAATGTACTGTTTTTATCGTAAGATTAAAACTTAAAATTAACAATTTGTGCCTGTTACAATCCCGAAATATTATTCAATAATTTATTTATTGTGTTTTATTAAGCAATTAGTGAAATCATGCTTCAGAAATTCGCTGTCATAAATTGTTCGTTAAAAAATTAACGGATATTGCTAGAAACTAATTTACGAAATTTGCCAGTGTCACACCGATTTAATCTTGGATCTTATCACGGATTATTTTAATCTGGTCAATCTTTCATCTGAATCAAACGCGTAAAAAAAATTAACGCAACGGTGAAAAATATTATTTCTTAATTATTTACGTACAAATAAACGCTACCAAAAAATATTTTAAAATTACAAATATTACAATCAATTTAATAATACGCTATTGCCACGAAAGATAATTATTCTAATATTATTACCGAGAATATTACTGAGATGTTCAATATCTATTACTAGAAATGATTAATATAATACATCCCCATTTTCGAGTCGCAATTTCTCAATACATATTATCAGAACAGGAAATAAGGATTGCGAAAAAAATCGACGCGCTTGTCAAAAACGCGAGAACGGAATGTTTTTTCTTGTATTATAGATGTAGCAATGATGAGGGAAGCGTAAGCGAACGAGCGAACTTTAGACAGCGTGAGGTCAAAAAGCCATCAGGAAACATCGAGCCGCCTTTCAAAACATACATAGATATAAGCAGGAATAATCTGTGGTAAGATTCACGGTGTGATTCGGTCCTGACTGACTTTTTGCAGATTGTCATTAGCTTTACGATCGCGCCAACGCCGCGGATTTACATGAACCGTACCGTAATAGATCGCGAGGGAGAAGAAGGTGACGATAAATTTCATATTCTACTGCTGGTAGATTCACGGGCTGTCTCGCCAACGGAACAGACTTGTAATTTAATGCATGTTTTGCGAGACGTCTCTTTATGCACTTCCTGGGACACGTCCGTACAGCCAATCATGTTTTCACGAAGACGAGGGACGAACGCGTCTCATTATCGTAGTTGTTAGGCCATTTGTTCTATCTTAATGTAACTCCTTTTTGTTTGTGCTTAACGCAATACGATATGAAAGCTTGATTGAGCACGGTCATAGGTACATGATTATCGTATATAACTCTCAGCTAGTTAAAAGAGCAAATTATTGCCAATAAAGAATCGAAAATATACTAAGACATTTCAAGCCCATTCTCAACTTTAGAGAGTTAACAAAATTAGTTTAAGGAGAGATATGTAAAAAATTAAGATAAATATTTCTGTACTCTCAAATGGCAAATAAAATTTTAAGAAACGATTAATTAAAATTTCTTGTTAATTTATAAAATTAATTCATGGCAATTATTTTTTATATTGATTTTTATAATAAATCTATAATATTGTGTATATAATACATTCTCCAATAAAATATATAATGATTTGTAATATTTTAAATAATGTCATCAAGCATTTTTGCTTGTCAATAATTGTAAAAAACAATTTTAAAATTAATAATATATCGCAAAAAAAATGGGATTCGTTCGCAGCAGTCTTTCATTCATATTATTTTATTTACGGCTTTCGACGCGCGTAATTTCGACGCTTCGTTCGTAATCTGCGGATTTAAAAAATTTGCAAACTCAGCGCTGTCGGATGAATTTTCGATATTTCGCTCGAGTATTGTTGCGCGGAACGTTTCATCTCTTCGTGAGAGGGATGGAGCCGCTAATTCCGTAATACATCTGGCTTTATATAGTGAATATCCATAGAACCGTGGTACAATTACGAACGAGCAAAAGCATATTTGAATGGCAATCGAAAGTCGGAATTTTAAATCCTTAAAAACAGTTATCAATATTAACGTATGACGGAAAAACGAATAGTGATGTTCCGTACAAAAAAATTGGGTAAATGCTTAAAAACATTTAGTTCTCCTTCTAGTAATTAATTTTTACATTTGCGATATTATTTGTATTCAAATGCAAATATTAAGAATATATACAATAAATAATAAATATATAATACGTATTTGCGGCTTGCAAAAATTGCAAGTGAACATTTTATTTCATATTCAAATTTTCTCGAGTAATGAAGAATCTGTTATCAGAACAAATGTGCAAAAGTTTTTTGCAAAAATTCTGAAAGAAATGCAATAAGAATTAATTTCATTTATAACCTTCAGATTTATTTTATATTTTATATTTTTATTATCTTAACTTTCATCGCACAGCAAATTTTATATATACAATTATTATATAATATTTTACAATTAGTTACCACATACAACAAATTTTAGAAATGAATTAAACATAATTCACGTGATATAACTTTATATCACAATATTATATAAATGTTATATCATAATATCATGTAGAAAAATCTAATCCCTTTCTAAAAAAAGGCATGAAACCTCGAACTCGAATATATCGAAACGTTGAAGCTCGACTTGGCGCTACAAATACTTCGAAGTGTCTGATTGACCAATCAGGATAAAAGGAGGAAGGATTTCTTTGTCTTGAGTAATCAATCAAACGCTACTTTATGGAACGCTCGGAAACTATTATAAGTAAACCCAGCGCTCATATTTCATTATATATAGCACAAATTTCATAAAAATATAAAAATAATATAATATAAATAAAATTTTTTATTCTCTATCTAATCTTAAATATGATTTTGATTTAGACTTTGATATTTTTAAAATATTAATATTAAAGATTAAAAAATTGCAACAAATGATGACCATCTTAATACATATTCCATAATATAAAAATTATATTTATGCTATATTTTATTACATTACATCTACTAAATTATTAAAAAAGAGTATTTTAAGAGATACAAGTAAAAAGATCTCTAAAGAATTATAATTTTATATATTATGTTATTTGCAACTGTCAAATCATGCGAATTTTGACAGTTTGACAATTTGTGAAAGAAAAAGTTAAAGTTAGGAAAGAAAAGTTAAAAAAATTGGGAAACGTCCATAAATAAAAGCGCGCGCGCAGCGCGCGTTTGTGTTGTTCTAGTTACTGTAAAACCTTAAACACTACAAAGATGTGGCTATCCTTTAGCGACCCTTTTAAGCTTTCATGCTGTTTTGGCAGTGCGTGGGAGAAGCATAAGACCACGCACTAAGACAATTGATGCAAAAACTTACCTTTAGACGAAGATCACTGACAGTCCAGACGCGGCTCGCATAATCGTTGGATGCTCCAAGAATAAGGATGCCCGTCGAATCAAAGTCCACCGACATGACACCGGCGTTGCTGCCGACGAGGATGCCTTTGCTCTCCGATGTACCTACAACAGAACATTCATTTACACGTTATCATACCATTACCTAACGATGTTTGTGTTTAATTCGTCGCGTTTACGTGCCTCTATCAATTACTTTGTTCTTCATTGCAGAATCATTCTATCTCCATCTCTCTTTCTCCCTTGCATCTATATCGCGCGTTATTCTCTGAATATGACTAATTAAATTTATACCCTGACGGCTTAATTGGCAACGAGCGAGTTGCGTTGCAATTCAAAGCTACTTATAAGCGCCTCAAAACAGGCAATAGGGAAAAAGGGGGAAAGAGATAGGGAAACATAGAGATAGAATTGAGGAAGAGCAATGGAAAAGCGCGCGGAACAAAACCGAAAAATAGATAATGCGTGGAAATCCAGAACAGCAGATCTCGAGTTAAGCGGATATAACCTAATAAGGATTGGATGTTTCATCCAATTTGTAACGAGAGGCGCGGGGGATTAGATGCGCGAGCATTATAACATGTGCGATCGTTTCGCTGCAGAACAATTTCGCCAAATGGCCGGCTTGCTTTTGCTAGACGAGGCAAGATCGAACCGTTCGACGCAAAGCATAACCTGTTGATTTGTTGACATACTTTATTAAGTAAATCGCGGAAAATTTATTTTGAGAGAAAATACCTTATAATGAACATTAATGATTATTTCTCTTATAAAAGAGAGTTTCGTATATTTTATTTATACAATGCATTTTTTATTTAGAGATATTTATCAAAATGATTCTATATTGCCATTAACCTGATATATTTTGCAGCGGTGGTAGCATTCTCGTGAATCGAAAGATTCATTCGTAGTCACGTCGAATCGGTAAAACTTTTCGTTTCTCAGTGATTAGATGAAAAAATATTACTTGGAGAATGATAATTACCGGAAACCAGAGTGAAGAAAACTGTAAATATCTTTTGCGAAGACCGCGCACTGCTTAACCGCACGAACGACGAAATCGCCATAACTGAAATGCGTAAGCACGCCTAAATTCACGCGGAAGGAGAGAGGAAAGGAGACAGAATTTTAAAAAATCATTAAATAAATTTATGGCGGGGGATCCTCTCCCTTACTGTCTTGCATGTAATACTCACGATTATTATACGGCTGAAATGTCGTTTATCTGCATGAATTGTATTATATTCAAATATATAATGCATTTTTTATTTAGAAATATTTATCAAACGATATTTATCACACGAAAATTATTCTTTATTCTCTCTCTCTCTCTCAATACAAGAATTATATCTCAATACTAAATTATGCATATTAACCTTCTAAGAAAATACTACTTTGTTGTCATGTACACAAGTCGAAATTAAAGACAATTCTTATTATAAATGTATTCCCTGAATCAGAAATTATAATTTCCGACAAAATCTTGCTGTAAAATAAACGCAACGTAGTGCAGGAGAAATGCATTTGTGTTGACAAATACACCTAAGTTATTCTGCACAGACTTAATGGACATCTTTATTAGCACTAGCGCGTCCTTAAAGTCTTTATATCATCCTGACTCGCTGGAGGATATCAATTTTACGCACGTATAAACTATAATTAGATCATAAAAGTATAAGTACGCCATTAACCTGATATATGTGGCAGCGAGGATCGCATTCTCGCAGATCGAAAGATCCGTTCGTAGTCACGTCCTGCTCGAATCGGTAAAACTTTTCGTTTCTCAATGATCAGATGAAAAAATACTAGTTGGAGAATGATAATTACCGGAGGCCAGAGTGAAGAAAACCGTAAATACTTTTCGCGAAGACCGAACTATTTAACCGCACGAATGACGAAATCGCCATAACTGCCGAAATGCACTCCTAAGCACTCCTAAATTCACGCGAGAGGGGAGAAAAAAGGCGGCAGAATTCAATAAAATCAGTCGATAAATTTCTGGTGGAGATCCTCTCTCTCGTTTTGCATGCGATACTCAAGATTACTATGCGGTTGAGGTGTCGTTTACCCGCGTGAATACTCCGGTTAATCACATTCTTTCCCTCGCACGCGCTTTCGACGCCGTGAATATAATTTACATTCTTATACCGCGGCAATCGGCCATGTCCGTCGTAATTTGTGGCAACGATGTCTGTTCGACTTGGCGCTACAAATACTTCGAAGTGTCTGATTGACCAATCAGGATAAAAGGAGGAAGGATTTCTTTGTCTTGAGTAATCAATCAAACGCTACTTTATGGAACGCTCGGAAACTATTATAAGTAAACCCAGCGCTCATATTTCATTATATATAGCACAAATTTCATAAAAATATAAAAATTTTATATATTATTAAATATATATTTAATATTATAATATTAATAAAAAATACGTTCTTTTCTCTCTCTCTTTGTATTAATTACCTTTAGTAATGTTCCATAGTTTCACTTTCCTGTCAGCACCACCAGTAGCCAGAATTCTATCAGTAGGCGACCATTTGACAGCATATACTTCTCCTTCATGGGCACTCTGTAAGGTTTATAAACATTTGATATATGAGTGCTAAAAATTTTGAATGTATTCAAGCTATTACATAAATGTTATACGTTGATTGTACAATACATGATAAATAATAATGCTGCACAGAAATTATAAGTCAATGTTAAACAAAAAGAAGCGTACATAATTTTATTATTTTATATATATTTTTTATTCATGTACATGATTTCAAATTATCATACTTAGTTATGAATACTAGTTATTCAACTTGTCATACGTAGATAGGAATACTTATATAAATATAAAAATGCAAATATTTGTATAATATTTAATTAAGGCTTAATATTCTAAAAAGATAAATATCGATATCATGTACCACGATACTGGTATAATATGTATAGGGAATCGTATTTATATCTTCACATTCATATTCAAAATACATATATAAAATTAAAATGCTGTTGTGTGTGTAACCAATTTAGAATGAGAATATGGGTAAAGAAAGTATGGAAGATTTATAACATCATTAATCAAAAGTGAAAGTGCAAAACGAAAAATTATGAAGATTTATGTAGCTAATTGAAAATAAGATCATGGAAAAAATAATGGAATTGAGGAGTTTTATGGCGGATTATGTTAATAAAAGCATCCTGTAACATTTAAAACCATTTGTACTTAGTTTAATCTAAATAAAAATTATAATATTATGCAACCTATCCTAATACTAATGCACATTAAATTCTACGAACGATATTATATTTTGCTTCAACATATTCAAAGTTTAATAAAAACTTAACCACTATTATACTAATATTACAGATTATATGTATAATAATGTATGATGACTTTGTCTGTGTGTGTGTGTGTGTGTATATATGAGTGTGTGTGTCCGAGTCATGTGTACATATATTACTATATAAAAAATATATGTATATATATACACATAAACATATAATATATACATGTATATATACATATACATATATTTGTATGCAAAGCATGCAGCCCCATATGTCAATTATTAGGATATCAAGTGTTGACTGATGTTAATACTTTCATCATGATAAAGAGAACACAATATGAGATATTTTAGATTCAACGTACAAATGTTACGGATACTTTTGTTGGCACTGCTGTCGGAAGACCAGCGACCTCTTTTAAGCTTAAACGATCTGGACTAACAGGTCGTGTATCTCGTGCTGCATCTTCCAATTCTTTTTGCATCTTTGCTTGCCTCTTTCTGCAATAATAACAAATATTTTTTGTAATGACAAGTAAAATTGAATAAGTTGCAAAGCAACTTAAAGCATATATCATAACATTGATATATTATGCAATCTTCACATTATATGGCTTTTTATCATTTATATTATATATAAAAACTAAACACCGTATTATTTGAATAAATAACTCACCATTTTTTGATGAATTTTTTTTATTAATTTCTTATTAGATAGTTTAAAAATATGATTATGTGTTTTTCTTGTAATATATACATATTTTTCTCTCAAAATTGTTCTTTGTGATGTAATTTTGACATGTAACTTTGACATGTAATTTTCACTTTTGTTTTTCATTATTAAAAGTAAGATAACAAAACAAAAATATTTATTTACCTTTTCAAGTTTGTTTTCTATGGTTATAGATTATAACATAGTAGTATTCACATCATATATCATTTTTTTATCTTTTATTTACATATAAAAGCTTAAAGTTAAAGATTTATATTATTTAGTAATTGTGTATCATTTTTATATTGGATGAAATAATCAATGTAAATAGACATTTAATGTACAGTATAAATGTCATCTACAAATAAAATAGATAAATCATAAGACACCAAATGCAGTATGTAGTTTTGTTATTACCAGCCCAAAGCTATTTAGCATTAAGCGAAATGTTTTTCATTTTATGAAACTTACCCAAACTTTGATAAGGTATGCATCAAAAAGGCTGTTGGACTCGTAAAACTGAAACGAAATAGTCAAGCAGTGTGTCTAGTGTATAAAGCCCTAAAGTGACTGAATATTGTACATTCTGTAGAAAATTCAAATTTGATAAATAGTGTCTACATTTATCTATTTATAAATATTAGTTATACATATTTACATATACATATATATACATATAGATACATTAAAAATATAATCATATATATATATTAGTATCTAATAATAGATATATGTATAATCATATATCTATTATTTGATACATATATTATTTGATATATATTAATAAATGTTCATAATAATAAAAAATTTTACTACTAAATCTTATTGTGTGGTCTGCATTTATACATAAAAATATCAATTACTGTATTATTTAATTAATAATTTATTGTATAATGTGAATGCATATTACGATGTTAATGAAAACATATGGTTTACATATTTAATTTTGAAAATATGTAGTATGCTTTCTAATTATTTTAAACGATTGCAATCTGAATAATTTAAGAACAAACTTGAAACGATTTATTATATATATTGTGAAGAGATTGCATCTTAAATTGAAATAAAAATGTTTAAATTCAATGAAATTTGTGTTTTTTAATGAAATAATGTACAACAACACCCATTTCAAGAAAAGAATAGGCATTCTACAGAAAAATGATGCTGAAGAAAGATAAGATTTCAAAGAGACAAAAAGATTGTATTCAAATAAACTACCTTCACACAAAACTGCACTAACTATAGGACCATACAGATATACATACAAACTCTAAATCAATTAAAATGCAGAAAAAATTGGTTAATTCTTAAAAGCTCTAACTAAGCAAAAATACATTTATTATATTAGAAGTCTAAGATCATAATTAGCATGCAAGACTAAATGCATATATTTCATCACATTACACATAAAAGTAACCAAAACACATGCTGAATCAGAATATTCTCATGATGGGGATGATTATTGCTTTGCTCTTAGTTTTAGAAGCACAATTACAACTATAGAAAAACTATAGAAACCGCGCATTATATACTCTATATTTTAATATTACAATACAGGATTTATTATGATAATATTTTCTATAATCTTCTATTATTATCTTATGTTACTTCTATAATCTTCTATAATCTTATATTAATAATAGTAAAAAAGAAAAAAGCAATATGCATAATTCTTGCAATAATTTTTCACCTTCTAACATCTAAAATGCATAAAATACATATTAATGGTCATACATCTACTCACCTTAAAAAGTTGTCATTCTCTTCATTCATTTTTTCTGCATCTCTAGCTTTATATTTTATTAAACGTTCAATCAGTTGTCGATTTTCTTCCTGCAAATCAGTAAAGTTTAAATAAATGTTAGTAAAAAAAATGGGGGTAAATAAATAAATACCTAAAAATAACTTATCAGACTTGCTTTAACCAGATGTATAATAGAAATATAATATACAATTTTATTAAATGTTTAACATAATTAGAAAAAAGGCGATAATATATTATATACCTGTGTTTTTCTAAGCTTCTCCTCTAAAGAAGCAAAAGCAAGTTGCAAGGCCTGATGTTCATCTTTAAGCATCTGATTAATACATTCTGTTTCCTTTTCTCTAGTAAGACATTTAGTTATTTCTAAACGTAAACTGGTATTAGCTTCCAAACTTTCTGCAAGACTGAAGAAAAGCAAATCATAAATTAATTTATAAGAAACTCATATTTATGTAAATGATTAAGTTACCTGATTTCCTTTGCTTGAAGTTCTTTTGTTATTTCTTGCAATTTATTATTAAGATCTACTATTTGTTGTGTGTGTTCTCCTTTTCTCTTATGTAACATCGCCAATTCTTCTGCTTGTTTTAAAAGTCTAGCTTCAAGATCAGGATTTCCACCTATGCCAATAGTGCCATTGGCTGCCTCACGACGAAGAGTTTCATTTGCAATTGTCAATTGCATGTTTGAATTTCGCAACGTGTTTGCATTTTCAAATAACCTATTATCTATAAAATAGAAATACTGTAAAACTAATTTACAAACTAAAATTGAAATAAAAGATCCTGTGTAAGCTAACTAGGATACTTTTTTATTCAAAATTATAAAGAAAAAATAAATAAATAAATGAAATCTGTTAATGAATACTAACTCATTGATAAAATATAACCAAGCAAGACATATGGTAAACAATAAAACACTGTACAGCACCGCTGCTGCATTCAAAATGAGGCATATTGATATCAGCATTGAATCAAAATGAAATTTTAGGTACAAAACTTACGCAGACTAATGAGATCCGCAAAACAATTGGTTTGCGATCTGTTTCTTTCGCGTAATTGCGAAATTAAATCTTTCCGCCAATTGATGTCATCTCGAGGAACGAGCGATACGCCTGCTTCATTCGAGGTCATTTTTTCCGAGTGATTCGCACGGTGCTTAAAAATAAGCAATTACTATCGATTTAACCTTGATCGGAACCGTTTCGACAAGGAGGCTATAAACAACGATCTTCAACAATCGTCACTCCATGATAAAGCCCTTTCTCACGGCAATGTGTAATTTAGTCCGATAAAGAATTACATTCGACTGTCAATCAATATATAACATTCGAATATCTCATAAAAATCACATGACATTGCCACATTAGCGCAAATATTTTTAATTATGAAAATAACTATTCTAACCTAGACATGTATAGGTGTACCAAACACTACGCTGTGCTACTTTGAAATCTTTGAAATTGTTGTGTTATCGATACCACATCATCAGTAACAATCGACATTGCGATATATCGATGTCACTGACAAATTAGTCGAAAGATCTGTAGCGGGATTCAGTAACTTGTTATCGACAGTTTTCGGTATCGTTAACTGGCGACAGCCAATGGCAAGGACAATTCTGGTGAAAAGCGCAATTCTTATAGGCTATCGCTCGCTAACGACAACGATAATCGTCGCTAAGATATTTAGAGAATCCCGCTACTGGAGCCATATTCGAAAAATATACATACTCGAAAAATATCGCATACAATATTTGTCATTGCGCAGCTATTTTCCGATACGCTTTAGCAGAGAGAAGCCTGAAAGGGGCCACGGCCACGCAGTCGTTTTTCGTGAGACCGCTTTTCTAGATGGTATAGTGGCGCTAACTGGATCCATTTTAGAGTCGGCGGAACTACATGGCCAGACACTTTTTGATGCTATGGTAAAACGACCAATTGGTGTATGTCCGTGCTAAACACATTGTGGATCAAAAATACGGAGAAATATTATGGATTTATTAATGTTTTATTATATATATAGTGTTGCAAATAATAATGGTAATAATAATAATAATTATTATTATTTATATATATATAAAACTTTAAAGAAAAAAATATACTTAATAATTGGGAGATGGGGATGTGCATTATTTTATATCAATAATGTCATGGCTAAACCGCATATTTGACATTTCAAATTTAAGTATTTGTCTATAATTTTGATTTAATTGATTTTAAAAAAACGCGTAAGTAGAGTTAATATTAAATAATTTTATAAATATGTATGTATGTAAAGAATTAATTAATTAATTAATTAACTGCATGTTTTTTGATTCGAAAAAACACAGTTAAAACTATAGGAAAATATAATAATTATAATAGAATAGATCTCCGTTTTTAAAAAATCATAATTTTTTATATGTCGTATAAAAACATAGTATTCAAGTATTAGGATAAATAGATTTGTTCGCATTTCCGGCTTTATAATTAGAGTTCTGTGTAGCACGCCACGAAATATAAAAGAAACTCTTAACTTTTGCTCTTAATTTTTACACTCCACCCAATATTGCAAGAGATATCTTGATTTTTTGTATAATATTTTGCGAAAACCTGACAGTATACCTATTAATGGGCGAACATATAAACGTAAAAGAATTAATTAATGCTGCTAATGATTAAAATTCTATAAAAAATAAAAGATTACAAAACTATAGGAAAATATAGAATAAATTTCTGTTTCTCAAAAATCGATTTTTTGTATGTCATATCACGTATCAAGACATTTCTAAGTCCCGAAGAGGGTACAAAAATGCAGCCTTTTTTCTCTTTATTCTCTCGAGTATTGTCTCTTTTGCTGATATCGGGGTACCCATTCGATTTGTCTCAAACTTTTTAAATATCCGCACATTTTACGTTCTATTTTTATATATAATTTCATATTATATATATCATTTATATATCGTTCATATATCATTCACATATATAATATGATATTCAAGAAAGTATAAACATTTTTTGAAATGGTATGTTGATCTGAGCATGTATTTTATTATATATATAATTTTTATGAAAATGTGGTTACGAACAACTATATTTGTAGATAATAAAATACATGCATCCTTATTGTATCTAGTGTTAAATGTGCGAGTATAAATAATTCTCGGGTACCAACTGTTCGAGACGAATCGAACCCGATAACAGCAAAATTTAAAATATTTCAATTCAAATACTTTGCAAAATAAAATAAATTGACATAATTTCAAGTCATTAATTCTAAGATATTTTTTGGTAGCGTTCAAATAAATTAATTTGTCGATTTTTTTCTGATATCGGGGTACCCATTCGATTTGTCTCCGTTTATAAATCTTTAATTGAAGTTAATTTTACTTGTTTCGACTGTTTGCTAATTGTTCGTAGATAATGATTGCAAAAGACGCCACACAGAATATCTCAATCAGTCTAATCAAACATCAATATACATATATGTATATATACAATTTAATTGGTTATCAATAAATGGTACATTTGATATAATTGATTTATTATTTATAACCTATGAGATTAATCGGTCCTTTTTTTTCTATGCGAATGGTTCATTTTATTTATATATAAACATTATATGCATTATTATTATATGCAAGTACGATGTATTTGATTTAAATACTTAAATATTTTAACTAAAGAAATGATAATAAAGAAAACGCGCGTATAATTACTCACTATATACCGTTGCTCTGTACATCGCCCGATGCTTTTCTAGGCCTTTTCCTCCTCTCTTGTCCATTCTTCGCTGTTTAATCGTAGCACTCACACTCACTCGCGAAAACACAATTAATTGTGGTTAGTCGTATACGCAACAATCATGAAACACTTTGCATGGCACTCCCGATCGCGGAACAATTATATGAGATATACATTTTATTATATCATAAGAGAATAATACGGAAAGTACAATTCGCGCTCGACACCAGGTCAAAATCATGGGTCTCATTACAAGAATGATACAGCAATTAATTAATCAATAATTATTTTATACTCGCATTTAAAAAAAAAGTTATCGGACGAAATATATTTGACTACAAGAATTATTAAATAAATAATTATTATCCATACGGATCGATGATCAAAAAATCGTAACGAAATTTACAATTTTTATCTCTGTTAATTTGATTTTTACTCGCAATAATGAATGATCGCGATTGAGAATTTGATAAAGATTTATATTTGCAATTTAATTTATATTCGCAATATAGTTTTGTATCGTTTATTAAAAGTAAATTGATCGTTAATTGTAATAATAATAGCGATTTCTATTCCGATATTAGTCACGATCGCGTTTAAGAATAGCATTTATGAATATATAAAGCATTTCGTACCACTACGTTACTGCTAATCTTATCAAATTATTTTCGGATACTTGTCGCGATCGCGTTTAGGAAAGGAATTTGTCAGAGCGTCTCGTACTACTACCTTACTGCTCGAGTGTCTCCGTATAAATAATAAGAAGACCGTGATACGTAAACAATAGCGCGCCAATGTTTACGCCGCCAAGGCCGCATACCATGTTAGGTGTTGTTAATTCGCTGCCGAAAAATATTCTATGTATATATATATATGTATATATATGCGATATATTAAATTATTTAAAGTGTTTGATATTATAGACCAATTATTTATTAAACCATTAATATATCATCGAGCTTATCGTTATATTAATTATTCGATTTTACAATTCAATAGTTTTACAGCACGTTCTTAATCCAAATTCTATCTAAATCGTCGAAAAATCAAATGATATAGTATCGTAGACAAAATATATTTGACTCTATGTGTTGTTAAAGAATTAATTATTGTCCGTAAAGATTGTAACGAAACGATAATTTATAATTTGGTTCTCTATCATTTAAATTCTTATTTGATTAAATGAATAAATTACGAAATATGCGATTCGAGATCTATCGTCGCAATATATATATGTAGTTACATACGTCCGTATAAATAATAAGAAGACCGTGATACGTAAACAATAGCGCGCCAATGTTTAAGCCACTAAGGCCGCATACCATGTTAGGTGTTGCTAATTCGCAACCGAAAAGTATTCTATGTATATATATACGAAATATTAAATTATTTTAAGTATTTGATATTATAGACCAATTATTTATTAAACCATTAATGTATCACCGAGCTTACCGTTATATTAATTATTCGATTTTACAATTCAATCGTTTTACAGCACGTTCTTAATCCAAATTATATCTAGATCGTCGAAAAGTCAAATGATATAGTATCGTGGACAAAATATATTTGACTCTATGTGTTGTTAAAGAATTAATTATTGTCCATAAAGATTGTAACAAAGCAATAATTTATAATTTGGTTTTCTATCATTTTAATTCTTATTTGATTAAATGAATGAATTACGAAATATGCGATTCGAGATCTATCGTCGCGATATATATATATATATAGTTACATACGGGTATTATTTATAAATGTTAATTAATTATTAATTATATTATAATAATAAATAATTTCTCGATACTGGTCGCGATCGCGTTTAGGAAAGGAATTTGACAGAGCGTCTCGTACTACTACCTTACTGCTCGAGTGTCTCCGTATAAATAATAAGAAGACCGTGATACGTAAACAATAGCGCGCCAATGTTTACGCCGCCAAGGCCGCATTCCATGTTAGATGTTGCTAATTCGCTGCCGAAAAATATTCTATGTATATATGCGAAATATATATGCGAAATATGAAATTATTTAAAGTACTTGAAATTATAGACCAATTATTTATTAAACCATTAATATATCATCGAGCTTATCGTTATATTAATTATTCGATTTTACAATTCAATCGTTTTACAGCACGTTCTTAATCCAAATTCTAT